TTGATGTCTAGTTATAGATATAGTATAGATCAGAACTGTTCAAAGCATGGCCCACGGTCCTAATGCGGCACGGGACATGTTTCTAATCTACCACAATTTCACAATTTTGTTTTGATATATTTTGGTATAATTATATTATTTTATTTGTAATAGTATTCCAGAACACTGAATTCAAATGAATAATTAATAAAACTAAATTTAATATCTGCACAGTGACTTGCATTAGCCCGCGATCGTATCTGGTCTGGACAGCCGTGGTATAGATTATGCTGCTTGTTATTCTGTTTATACTGTGTTTCAATTTTTGTAATATTATATGTATAATTAATTTAGTGTACTATTCAATTTTTAATTAGAGTTAACAATATGAGATAAGTATTCAGATTATGAACTTGTTTTTGTTTTCTTAAGAATAGAAATAATTTCTGTTTATCACCTCTGAACAATATACGATTAATAGGAATTGTCGAGGTTCTATGCTCCACTGGGAGTTACGAGAAGAAGACGAAAGATACTATTTTTAATGAATTATTGAATTTTTACTTGAGTTAAGAAAGTGCATTTGGTGATCAATTAGTGTACCTTTTATTTTGGTCTTATAAAAATAGAAATTATTTAATTTGAAATTTTGAACTACATTTATGACAAATGCACGATTAATAGAAATTATCTAGGTCCTATGCGCTACTAGAAGTTATCATGTATATATTGTATCTATAAATTAATGAACATTATCGGTTGTTTATTTTTTCCGTATATAGACAAGTAATTCTGCGAAAGGCAAGCTATAGAGTTTGGTTATAAAAATCTTTTCTCAGAAATAGAAGTGTCAATTCTTTAGTTTAATTGCAAATGTTTCTATAACTGTGACAGTTCTTTATTCAAAGATAGTCATATATCCATATATCACAAATGTAAAAAATTCATCATTTGCTCATTTATAGTGTTACGTTTAAATGTAACGTAAGTAGAAAATGGCTTTGAATAGGAGCACTTAGACTATCTACGGATGATGTTGTGCACAATATAGCGTTTTTACACGTCTTTTCAATATTTGTGTCATTATATGGACACAACAACTACAACAACAACAAACACTTTAGTGTTGTGTTTTTCTTCTGATTTTATAGATACATAGATACATGTGTGAGAATTCATTGAATTTATGCTGGTTTCGTGAATGTTGGCACATTTGCGATACCAAATCTAGTCTGCAAACAAGATGTAGATCTTGTACGTAGAAGCGATGCTGCACTGATGTTGTCGGGTGTGTGTTAGAAATAAAATAGATTTCCGCTTAAATTATATAAAATGTTCAAAAGACCAAACCTTAGAATTTTTTTTATCTGTTTCTGCTATTTTTTAAGTTCATTTCCCATGTGCACAAATTGTGCCAATTTGTGTTGTGGTTTTAGACGGATTTGTTTTTATATTTCATTTTTTTTTCTTTAAATAATCCTACAGATACATATATGTATTGTGTGTGTTATATGTGGATACAGTATAGATACTATGTGTAAGCATAGTAACATTAACATATTTGTTCGTCGTACCTATATAAATATAAATAGGTTTGTATAGTTTAAGTTGATATTTAGAAAACGTAGACAAATGGACGGACAAACATGTACAACAACACTAAATAGATAGTTAGAGTTGCTTTAGTTTCGTTTTTTTTTTTATATTTTTATATTTTTGTATCTTACATCTCTTGCCACTTCTACTTTAAGGCATGTAGGCATGTGAGCGGGCATGTTTCCGTAAAAGCATTCATCGCTCTTACTTGCTTAAAAAGGCGAAAAATACCTTAGATTTTAAGCTGTTTACGCGCTGGTTACGTTGTAGATACAGCTGTTGTTGTTGTTATTGTTGGTATTATAATTATTGTTGTTGTTGTTGTTGTTGTTGTTGTTGCTGTCGTTGCTGCTGTTGGTATTATGGTATCATTGGTATCGTTATTCTAGCTAAATTTGGTTGTCGGTATTTTAGTTGGCTTAGTTGATAAATACCATTTTTAGTAGATTTAATTGCGGGCATTTCTAGCCATAAAAATATATATATTTTTTTCATAGTATTTTTATTATTTATGGTATATGTATTTGTTCGTTTGTTTTTTTTTTTTATTTGATTTCATATCTTTTAATATTTTCTGCCTTAATGGCATGCCTTTGTCTAATAATTTTGCCATACAAAAGTCAAATAATTTTTATTTCTCTGCGTTGTTTTTAGATTTCTGTCTATATTTTACATTTAATTTATTTCTATTATTTTCTTTTTATTCGTGCCTTACGATTTTAATTACCCAGCAATTCAAGTGCATTGATCTTAATAAATTACGTTCTATATCACTGCTAAATTTACTTTTAATTCTGCATACATCATTTTAAATTTGCAAAAAAAAAGAGAAAAATACAAATAAAAATGTCTTTTGTTTTGTATTGGTCCAATGCGATCCGATCCGTTCTTATAATTTAATCCAATTTAATGCAATATCTTCACTTTTCCATTTTGCAAATAACAAAATTTTGCACTAATTTGCAATCAACCGTTGCGGTCTTTTAGAATAATTATATAAAGCGATAAAAACATCCGCCTTGAAAATGTAATTTTAAACAATAAATTAAAACGTTTTTGCATCTCATAAAGTTGATAAGATTCATAATGTAGAGTAGTACACATGGGCCAGATCAATTGATTTTCTAAATAACAAGTCGAGTTGGACAGAGTCGTAGGAGAGAGATATCCATAGTATGATTGATATAAAAATTAATTAATTATTAAGTTAAACTTAATAATTAGGTAATTGTTTAAATTAGAAAGCTGTGACGTACCTAGAATTGTGTTAAGAAGGGAATATTAGAAAGTATACTTCAGTCCAAATTCAAATCGACAGTCTACTGAATGGACAGCAGGGTAGCGGGCAGTGTACCTTGACCAAAATGTTCAAAAATCCATTTAAAAAAACCATTTACTTAATGTAATTACCTGTTGCGAAGATTCAATGCCGATAACCACCCCTTTGGAGCTTCAAGGATTTCCGCTAGTGCTAATTGAAGCTATATATTTGTATATCGTTTCTTGCTTCGTGAGAGGCGAGGCATTTGCTGATCTTTTAGTCACAGCATCTGGTTGGGAAATGTTATACCACATCGAATAAAAGTAAATGAATACGCTCAATTTACATGTGTATTTCTGAGTTTTAACCACAGCTATCACGATAGTCCCTTTACGGAACCAACGTTTGTGGGCCCAAACTCACTTACGACTAATACTCTAAACAGTGTGGGGATGGTGAGCTTAATCAGACAGAACAAAGAGACAACATATAAATTAGGAGCAACTCATCGTTCATACTCTTATATTCCATCATATTCATTCACACTCATTACAACAATTGAGCTATCAGTGTCCGACGACGGTAAAAACAGCTGACGCGTATTCGTCCATTTTCGCTTAACTTGATGACGCATGAAACAGTAATAATAATTTCCACATCATGTGTCTGTAATATAATCTGTAATATATTCATATTCATACTTAAGTCGCGAAGCTGATCGTACAGGGGACATTCACAGAGAAAATGAATTCAGTTCTCTGTATAATCAGCAAGAGCCCTTCGTTTCAAAATCGTATTAGAACCCACGTCCCGTAAGAAAATAGCCAAGATTCAAGCCGAAACTAAAAACTCGGATGCATTCCATATAGCCTGCCTTTGTGTCATCATGTGCTTATCCACTAAGGAGCGACACTTATTCATATTTAAGGTTAATGTGCATCAGATACCGAGTCTTTACTTCAGAGCGGAATCGGCAGTCACCTCAGTAGACGGCAATAAACAACAAATAAAACGTAACAGCTTGTATGTTTTTGGTGTCCGTATTATTAGATGTAGGTGAAATTTTGTTCATTGATTACATAGAAAAAGGTTAGACCATTTATAGCGATCGCTATATGGCCCAACCTTTTGCGTTTAAAGGAGGAAATCGCGAAACAGCGGTGTAGAAAATTGTTCTTTACTAAGACAATGCGACGTGTCACAATACGACGTGTTGGATACCATGTTCAAATAACTCTAAATTATGGTTCAAATTGCTTTAACACCTATCGTATTCCCCAGATTTGGCCTCCAGAGACTACTTGTTTGTAGACCTCAAAAAAAATGCTTCAGCGATAAAGATTTGGCTCTAATAAAAAAAATCATTATCGAAACTGAGGCATTTTCAAGGGCAAAGTTAAATCAATCGAAAAAGGCATAGAGTTGTTAGAGCAGCGCAGGAATGATTGCATTGATCTTACGAATAGTCGAATTTTGTCAAAAAGACTTTCTACAAGTCGAAATGTTAAAGAATTGCTGGAATGATTGCACTGATATTGAAAAAGATTATGTTGATAAATAAAGTCGAATTTTACCTAAAAGTATTTCTACAATAGAGGTATTGAAGTGTTAAAGAAGTACTGGAATGATTATATTGATCTCGAAGGAGGTTACGTTAATTAATAAAGTCGAATTTTGTCTAAAAGTCTTTCTATAAGAGATGTATCGAAATGTTTAAGAAGTGCTGAAATGATTGTGTTGATCTTGGCGATGACTACATTGATGAATAATGTCGAATTTTGCCAAAAAACTTCTGCAAGAGAAGTATCAAAATGTTAAAGAAACACTGAAATGATTAGTTTATTCTTTAGGGAGACTATTTTAATGAATAAAGTTGAACTTTGTTTAAAAGTTTTTGTTTATATTTTATTCTACGCACTTATTAGCTAATAAGTATGTATATAGATATACAATAACTCTATATTCTCTATAAAATCTGTAAAAATTTAAAAAAGCAAAACTTTGATTATATTTTACTTGATTTACAGATTATTCATATATACCATATAATGTATGTGTATACTTCACATGAATGTAATTTTTAATTAAATTTTTAAATAAAACATTTATTTTTAATATTATACAATATCATTAACCACTTCTCAATATTTATTTATTTTTGCAGTGTATAAACAACGACGGTGCTATTATCATCATCGGAAAGAAATATTGAATTTATATTTCTAATAAATTTGCATTAAATGTGACGAAATTGAAAATAAGAATCTACTACATTTAAAATGTAATAATCACGATTTTTTTATAATTAAAAAAAAAAAATAAAAATAAATAAATATATATAAATAAATATAAAAAGTAACTAAAATGCGCAAAGAATCAATGAAATGTGATTGGACGGCAAAAAAGCAAAATCAACTGCAACAACTGCAACTGAAAACTTGTAGGCGAAGCAAAAAGCGTTACAAAAACAAAACCGTTTGTAACGCTCCGCTGCCGACGACATATAATCATAGCAATTATTATAATTTCATTAAAACCAATAAATTATTAATTGCAATATTACTACTGATAACAATGACAGCTACAACGACAATTTGTCAAGCCGCAGCTGCACCGCACGGTTTCGCAGCGGCGAGCCCGACCCGAATACTACCAATCGCTGCCGTCTTATTGAAAACAACAGCAACAACAGCAGCTACAACGTCAGCATCGTTATTATCGACGACTGTATTGGCAGCGTTAACTCCCACACAACAAAAACAGCAGCAGCTGCAACAACAACAAGAGCTGTTCGCTTTACTAACCAAAAATAGACAGACATCGCTAAATGGTATGGTAAATAGTGGATTTGCTGTTGCTGGCGATGGTGATGGTGATGTTGATGCTGCTGCTGCTGCTGGCATTGCTGACGCAGCATCAAGTTTGACAACGTCAACATCCGGCACGCGTGACAAATTCGAAATTGAACATAGCAAAATTGTTTCTGCCTTCAAAAACGCTAAAGACAATATAAAAAATTATAAAAAGAACGCTGCCAACAGTTATAATAATAATGAGCATCATAATGTTAAAAAGAATGCTGATGATGATGATGATGTTGTTATTGCGCCAGCAGCAGATACATTTCTGGAGACAACAGGTTTTTTTGCTGACGATGGACAAAAATATGAAAAAGCTGACAAGGCGGGAATTGGATCGATTAATATAAACGACCATATTCAGCATACGAATGCCAACAACTGCCCCAAGGAGTGCAAGTGTCTCAATGACTTCTTCGATTGTGGAAAAAAGCATTTGGATCATGTGCCCGAATTGCCAAATTATGTTGTTGTACTGTAAGTAGAAATAATATTTTCATATAATAAATAATTTATAGTTAAATAAATTAAAATTATTATCTATATTGCATTATGGGTAGTTGGTACACAGTAGCGATTACTTGGGGGATGAATTTAAAAACTTATAAACAGTGGAAATTTAGTCAATAATCCTTAGGGTTGCAAATATCTACGCCAAACGTGCAATTTTATGCGGGGTGGTTGCGATTTAAAGTTGATAAAAGTAACAAACGTACCCTTATCTACTGTAATTACAATATTTGCTTACTTCACTCACCTATTATTAACTTGGAAAACAATAAGAATTAATGAAAACGAAAATTGGAAAGTTGAATTAATTAAGTAGAATTAAATAACGAGTTGAAGTTTAAATTTAAACAAAATGGCTAGGCAGATTTTCAAGCTTATAACTTATATATATATATATGCCAATTAATAGGGCTAGTTGAAATTTATCAAGATCATAAATTCTCGAGCCACCCTTGTCAAAAAGTAATAATAGTTGCAATTTTTCGAGATCATTAATTCAGAAGCCACCCTTGTCAAAAAGTAATAATATATAATAAAATGGCTCAACAGATTTTAAAACTTATAACTCCAACAGTGTATGTATCTATGCCCACTGAGATGACCCAGACACAATTGAACAGGAACAAAAATTTTACTGGGCAAACCCCCAATCAGTAGACAACCTCACATATTTTTTATAACTAGATATGCAGAATATGGAAAGAAGAAGAGAAAAGAGAAATAACTAAACTTTTTCTTTGTAAAAGTTTAAGACTCACAACATTGTTGTTGCCCACCGGATTCTAAAATGCAACGATATAAAATGTATATATGACTGGATGCCATACGAGGTGATTTTACAGGGGAGTTTAGGTTAAAGATGCAGCCTTGTACTCAAAGCCCACTTGAGGTTAAATAAAAATAATGTTCAATAAAGGATGTAGTATCTTTCTCGAGAAAACAATTGCAAGGCAACAACGTACTAAACAGGCTACCGACTGATATCTACAAAAAAAAACGAAATTGTCCTTGAACGATATCTATCCTAACCCAATTGAAGTTAGGCTTTAGTTATGTTTTAAGCATTTACTTGTTACGTATAAATACATCACTTCCCAACATTTACCCCATATAATATCTCATTTACCCCATTAGTATACTTATATCCCAACGTAGAAATTAATTTGGTCCTTATTGACGCTTGGCTCTAACCTACTGATCACAGTGGCAAGGTTTCTCCACCTCGATCCAGCTTAATTTCTGATTAAATCTCACCCACCCCTTAACTATTCCATCTCCTTAATAACTTAACTTCTCACTAACCCACTACCTAATCCATATTCTAACCGTATTTTGCAATTTCTTTAATGTCTGCTGCAATAAAGCTCAGTTCAGGTTAGAAAAATGACAACAAACATATATACCCTGTTGTTGTTGTGATAGAACGGTGAGAACTATTAAGCAGATAACATGAAAGTAAATACAAAGACGTATACATGGGTTAAGATGTGTCTAGGTTATGTTGGTGTGAAAGCGGAAGCGATTATTAAGAAGTAAGATTAGAGAGTAAGGATTAGAGATGGGCGAAGTTCGAATTGAAATCAATCAGGATCATGTCGGAGAAATCTTACTTACTTGAATTGGGCGTACAATATAGACCCAAGGTCGATTTAATTACATATACATATTAGTTGATTGGTTTAAAGTAAGGTTTCATTAGACTTTTGTAGTCTGTATTTAAAGCATGTTCTGCTTATAAAGCAGTTTTAATTTATATTGTAGAAATAAATTTATAACTTATTTACTATTATTTAAATTTACTATAAAATAATACTCTCTGACATTTTCAGGGATATGGTTGGAAATAAACTGAACGACACAACTGTACTGCAAATAAAAAATTTAACATCACTGAACAAACTGTAAGTATATATATTAATTTTATTTGCGACTATAAAAATATAATAATTCTTTGTTTTTATTTTAGTTCCTTAAAACGTAATCAACTGGAGAATATACCAAAATTTGTAGGCCTTTCGATGCTAAAGCAATTGAATCTTGCCAATAACCACATACAACATATATCACATGAGTCCCTAGCGTTATTACCAAAGTTGAGAGTTTTGGACATGACAAAAAACTACTTACATAAAATTGAGATCAATTATTTTCCAGCCACAAATACATTAGCTCATCTGTAAGTTATAAATAGTTTCTTAATAATTATTTACATTATAATACAATATATTTTTTACAGAATTTTGAATTCGAATGAAATTTCCACAATTGATGAAAATGCATTTGAAAATCTATCTAATATTTTGGACTTAGAATTGAACAATAATCGCTTGACTATGCTGCCGGGCGGGGTGTTTAAAAATCTATCCAAAATGAGGAAATTGTTAGTATAAATGCGAATTATATTTTAATTAAATATTAATTATTCTTTTTATTTCTTCAGATCATTAAACTACAACCATTTGGAAATTAATTGGTCAACATTTAAAGGTTTAACGTCGTTACAAAAACTCTTTTTACAATCGAATAATATTCGCGCTCTTCAAGATGGCATCTTTCATGTTATGCGTTCGATAGAAACTATTGAATTGGATCATAATGATATCACTTCACTGAATCGTCAGGGTTTATTTAATTTGACTAAATTACAACATTTGAGCTTATCAAATAATTCAATTTCCCGCATTGAACTTGATACTTTTGAATTCACTGAATCACTTAAGTCCTTAGACTTATCACACAACAATATAAGCGAATTTAAACCACAACATTTAGATTGTCTCCAACACTTAAAGCATTTAAATTTGGGTCACAATAAGATTCAATATCTAGCGGATAATACTTTCGAATGTGTAAAGAATTTGGAAGATTTGAATTTACGACGTAATAAATTGGCGTGGATTATTGAAGATCAAGGAGCTATACCACCTTTTAAAGCACTAGGAAAACTTAAAAAATTAGATTTATATGGCAATAATCTAAAGCAGATTAATACCAAGTCTTTGAATGGCTTAAACAGCTTAGAGTTGTTGAATTTGGGTGGAAATGCATTAGCATCTATACAAACCGGTGCTTTCGATCAAATGGCACATTTGCAAAAAGTCATATTTAAATCATTAAATTTTATATGCGATTGCGAATTGTTATGGTTTAGACGTTGGCTACAAAGAAATGCACAAACCAATACTCAAATTCATGCGAATGCTGTCTGTGGTTATCCGGAACATCTGTTAGATCGAGAAGTTTTATCATTAACGCAGACTGAATTAATTTGTGGTAAGAAAATTATAAAATATATACATAATATGCATTACCTCGGTCTCTTGCATTACAAATTTATGGTAGTTTTTGGATATAATAAATTTATATGGTTTAATAGTACTTCATTGATTTAGCAATATAAACAACTCTTTTTTTATTCCTAGCTGATACTCCGAAACCAATTATTATAGAAGAACCAAATAATCAATTAGCTGTTAAGGGTGCCAACATAACAATGGAATGTATAGCTAAGTCACCAACTGCAGCATCTTTAGCAGCAGCAGATGAATTAAAAATAAAATGGCGGCATGATAATCACAACATAAAAGATCGCAACGAACGAATTGTTGTAAATGGAAATCACAATGGATTTAGTACAACTGATACACAAATTCTACATGAACAATCGAATCACACGATAATTAAAGGTTATTTACGCTTATATAATGTTAGTTATGAAAGCGCTGGTAAATATCAGTGTGTGGTTTCTAATGCTTTTGGTACAACCTATTCACAAAAATTTAAACTTTCCATTGGGAGTAAGTATTTTTAAAGCAACAGTACAAGAAATCTATTAAATATTTTATTTAATTTACAGTTCATCCAACTTTCTTACAAATACCTTCTAACTTAACGATTGATTCTGGCAATACAGCACGTCTGGTGTGCTCTGCTGCTGGAGATCCAATGCCCGAAATAGCTTTACAAAAGTTTGGTGCTAGTGGTTTTCCAGCTGCAACTGAACGAAGACTAAAAGTCGTACGCGAAGAGAATGCTTTTATTATAACAAATGCAAAACCGATAGATACTGGCATATATACCTGTACAGCTGATAGTCCTGCGGGCGAAATAAAAATAAATGCTTCCCTAGTTGTTAATGGTGAGAGAAATAAGTCATTTATTTTTTTATTTATATATTTTTACTAATATTTATTTTATAATGTTTAAACATGATATGAATTTGCGATATAGACTTATGGATATATAATAATTATCTCTAATTGTATTTTTAAACTAAAATATGACACAAAAGTTATATTAAATAGAAAAGGAAAAATAGCATTGAAAATAATATTTTTACTTTCATGAATTGGATTTATTGGTTGACAATACAGCTGCTTTGAATATCATTCTTAATTGCAATTGCTGTTCGATTGCAAGGCGCAATCTAATAACACCCAATCTTGTCAAAATACGGCTCTGCGGATATCGACCGGTTATCATTGCATTTCGAATATCTTTCATCGTCATGCAGAATTGAATATACTTCTTGTAAACGAACACAATTAACTATTCTCCAAGCATATCTATGTACATACTACATAGATGAACATTCCAAACCCGACATGATCAGAAAATCCTTCACTTCGCAAAGCATCCATTGACAGCTTTCTTCGTATCATGAATATATCACAATGCAGCTAGCATCTGTGAGATCGAATACGAACTTGTACTAACAGCCCAGCCCTCTACATAAATACAATATACTCTTCGAGACCATGGTGGCACCGCAACAAAGTTCTTTATAGGCACCGCCTTATCTTGAGAATTATCCTAGCTCAATTAAGATTAGGATATATCCTTGTGCTAAATAGTTGCTTGCCACACATATATAAGGTAATTCCCAATGTTTGTCCCTACTGCAGTTCTATCCCCTTTGGGTCGATCATCTGCTTTTATGTCTTAATACACACATCAATTTGAGCTCTATTGATCTTTGATTGTGCAACTCTGCCTCTTTTGATATTGTCCATCTGCTGTGATCTTTCAACGCATATAACAATTTGAACTCATTTATGCCAGTTGAAAATTTTTTCCACCTCGAACTAAGACCACTGATGGACTTAAATAGATATTAGAAACATTTATATGGTCAGCTAAAAAATCCAATTGAAAAGAATAAAAAATGTTGCTATTTTTATTGCCTTTCATCTTTTTCTAAATGATTTATTTGTTAATTATATGTTTTTGTTAATATAAGCTAATTTCATTATTATATTTCCAGATAAACCGCAACCAACGATACCAGTAATGACTAAAGAAGTTGTTTTGGGTGAGTCGAGTATACTGGAGTGCCTTGATGATGTAGTGGCAGACTTAAATCAGCCACATCGTGAATGGTATAAAGATAACAAACCTTTTCATACATCACCAACATCTGATTCTGAACGTTACTACTATGAAACTGAAAAGAGGCTTCTTATCATAATGAATACCCAATCCATAGACGCTGGGAACTATCGCTGTGAAATTACGGATCAATTAAAATCATTTGTTGTTCAAACTGAATTAATTGTTGTGCAGGACAAAATGAAAATATATTATGTGTTATTGGGTGTTGCATTGCTCTGTTGTCTTATCCTTATTTGCGTCTTAATATGCTACTTAAAGTGTAAACAAAAACGTAAATTATCGAATATAAATATTGACCGGACTGGTGTTGGTGATGGAGTAAACAGTGGACTTATTAATATTGGTGGTGCACGTATAGCAGCAACAAATGATTCAACAATTCAACAACATTTATTGAATCACAGCCAAGGCAGTACGTTAGACCAAACACAGTTGACAACATTAAATCGTACCTATCTGCAAGATCAACTATTGCACACACATCCACGGCAGCAGCAACATACTCATCAAATGCGTCCACGCAGTTTAGCTGATTTAGATTTAAGTTTGAATACAAATAATGGTGCAACAAAACAACGAAATTATCTTTTAGGCAACGATTCACTCAACTATCAACAATTACTGCAACACGATGTAGATGCTATTGGTAATAAACGCATGGAGGATGTGCGTGAGAGTTTTACACTAGAATATTTACGGCAAAACTCCACTCAGGAGACAGAAATTAATCAGGATTATTTATCGAGCAAGGACTCCGGCACTGGTTCAGATGCAGCTGTAAAACGAAGTATAGAAGATTTTTCTTTATTGCCGCAAGAAGAGCAGCTACATATATTGTCAACACCAACAGCTATTGCTAATCATAATCGACGAAATGGTAGGACTATATTAGGAAATACAAATAGTTACACTGAAAACGGTGATAAAATTAGCCGGAATAAACATAATACAGAAGAAGATGAAGAAGATTTTGTAGCATTACGCCCACTTGGTGTATCAGATGTATATGAGGTTGATGAAATTGAACGAAGTGAACAAGAACGTCTATTTTTTAACAATAATCGTGCTCTTCAAATGGTATCAGGTATGAATCGTGATATCTGCGGCAATGCTCTAAACTATGAAGGCGACACTATTAATACTGAACTCAGTAGAAAAAATGATAGTCATCCGCAGCAGTTACCACATTTAAATAATAGTAAATGTAAAACAAATTTAAGTACAAATTTCAATAGTAACGCCACAGAAAAGGCGGTTGATATTTAACAAACTAATTATTAACATTCGAAACCAAATAAGACTGTAAATATTGAAAAACGCCTTCTTTCAAAAGAAAAAAAAATCATGTAATATATAATTTAATGTAGCTATAATTTAATTAAAAAAAAAACTGCAGCTAAGCAACAATACCAGTGAATACTATGTGCATACCACAGATATGTAATTTGCTTTATATACAGTATAATAATTTCAAATGAAAGCATTCAGTTTTGAAATGTAGCACAGTTTAAAGTGGAATATGGCACGGTGTTTTTACTCTTGAATCTTAACCACTTTTTAAATTAATGTACACCATGTGAGGAAATGCTCTTTTACAAGCGCTTACTTACTTACTTACAAGCGCTATCAAATACAAGCGCTATCAAATATTATTTAATGACACTGGTGTGACGTTTGTAAGAGAACATTTGAAAGTACACTACAGACGATCAATCTACATGATTAAGTTTTTTGAATATTTAGTGAATATATACTGAATATATAGTGAATATAAAATGAATATAATCGAATGCAGGTAGACAGACTGTGTATATTTGACTTTTAATTTTTTTTCATGCAATTCGATAAGTCAAAAAATATCTGTGCATTTATTCATATGAATGCGAGTCAGATACAGTGTTGTGCTTAATTCAAGAAACACTCGATTTATTCATACGTACGTAAGCGTACGGTGCACTGCTGTCTTACATGACATATTAGTGATCAAACATTTAGATTGTCTGTAGTTTTCTTTATGTTAACCTGCAATTTAAGAGTGAGGACTCCGTAACCCAAACTGTCACCTTGTTTCAACCTTTATACTAATCATTAAATATTTTACTGTTGTATATAAATAATGTAAATTTATGCACTTAGTTATTACTATACCCTTCACATATATAGTGTACAATTTATAATCAGGTACCATATAACTAACATACATTCTTTATCAGTTTGTCAAGATTAATTAACTTAACTACATCTGTCGGTAGGCATTCTGAGGTTAATGTAGGCAGCTCTAGACGACAAATGAATGAAATTTTTGGACGTCATTATGTGTCTATAAAATATCTCTAGAAGATAACATATATGTTCAAATGAGTATATTAATTTGATAACATAAGTGAAAAGTTGATAATAAATATTTCAACTTTGATTTAAAATAAAACTAAGATGTGAAGGGTATTGAAGCTTCGGCAAAGCCAAAGTTAACTTTGTTTCTTGTTTTGTTTTCTTTTTATGTACAAAAACAATATGTACATAAAAGTATTAAATTCATATATATGCATATGAAATATATATATATATATATATATATATAATATATATATATATATATATATATATATATATATTATATTATAATAATATATATATATTTATATATAATATTAATATTTATATCTACAATGTAATATATATAATATTTATATATAATATTATTATATAATATATTTATATATTTATATATAATATATTTATATATTTATATATAATATATTTATATATTTATATATAATATATTTATATATTTATATATTTATATATAATATATAATATATTTATATATAATATATTTATATATTATATATATATATATATATGTTTATGTACGTTTTACATAATATAATTTAAATAATATGAAACTTATTTATTTGTAAACGTTTTGCTTCCTTGTGATATTATTTGTTATTATTTAGCAAAACTAGTTATTCTATTTAGTATTTAAAAATGTTAATTTTGTACATGTATGTTGCTTTGTTATATTAAAAATATTTATTATATTCATAATATATGCACCTATAGTTCCATATGCAGCAAAATAGTATAAAGTTTATTACCAAGACTCTGGCATGCATACACGTAAACAATAAAAACTGAGCTTAAATGTAATTTATTTTTTCTTGATAATTCTAGAAAACAGAAAAATAGTTTTAAAATTAATTTTCCAACCAGCATTTTCAATAGGTATTACTACTATATTTGTATATTCCATTTTAATTTCAGTATTACACTATCTTTAATTAAATATAAAACAAAATAGTCAATTTGTATCAGATATTCAATAGAAATTCACTAATTTAAGTTGTAATTTTTGTATTATTACCCAAAATTAAATACATAGAAAAAATCGAATAATTCAATATAAAAATTAAATATTAAATATAAATATTAAAATCATATTTAAAAAATTATTTAATTAATGTATCAAAATCGATTATTAGTTAAATAAATCCCATTTCTAACATGTTTAAATGCGAAATAGTCAATAGAATATTAAAAATATTTAAATAGGCTTTTTATTTGAACTATTGAATAGAAGATACAATACTTATATATATATGTATTATATATATATATATATATTAGCCAATTTTAGTAATCAATTTGTAAGCATGTCCAGTTTAATAATTATAAATATAACAGCTTGTCTTAAATAATTAAATCAAATGCCAAAGAACTACTAATAATCTGTCTTTCTCTCTTCTTTTATCTATAAACAGTGCACTTGAGAAATAAATTTGTTACATAGAATTTATAGTTGGTTAATATTTAACTAGAATCTTCCTACGACAACATATATATACATAAAAGTAGAAATTTATATTTTTACTTTATATGTTCTTTAATAATCTTTTTTTTTTGCATCATTTTATGTTTTCTAAAATTCTTTTTAACTTAATAAAATATAGTAATTTCGTTTTTACTAATTCGCTGTTTTTTAATATAATTTTTTCATATTTAAATATTATCGTTTTTTCTTTTATATTACATACATTTTTATTTTCCTTATATATTTTTTATTTTTGCTCTTTTTTATAAATTTTTGTTATTTTATTTCTTACATATTTTATTTTCTATTTATTTTGTTTATTATTCTTTGAAGTATTAATATTTACTATTCTATAGTAAATAAAATAAATAATAACTATTATTAACTAAATGAAAAATGAACAAAATTAGTACTAAACAAAATAGAAACAAATATAGAAAATAAAATAAATAATAAATAAATATTAATAGAATTTAATAACAAATAATTATTATTTCATTTATTTATTTATTATATTATTTATTTTATTTATTATTGATTTTGTTAATTTTATTATATTTTATACATAGTATATTTTATATTTTTTTGTTTTCTTTGATGCATTTTTTTAGTTTTATTCTAAAATTTTTAAATAAAATTATTTCTACAATTATATTTTTTTTTTTTATATACATATATTTTATATTTTGTATAAAATAATAATAATATTTTATTTTTTTAAATAAAAATATATTTTAAATATATTTTTTTTTATATTTCTTTTTTTTAATAATTTTTAATTAACTATTTTACTTATATTTCATTATATAAAACATTCTATTATATTGCCTTTTATACATATTAACTTTTTAATTTAAAACTTTTTACATTCTTGAATAACAAATTTTATACAAGCAACAAAATTTATTAATATTTTTTTTAAATTAGATATTATTTTTTGTTATTAAATTTTAAATTAAAATTTAAATTTTGAATAAATTTATATCTATGATTAGCTTTCCTTATAGATTTTATTTTTTTAGGTAATTTTTAATTTTTTGTTTTAATATTATTTACTTTTTTATTTTATATTATTTTTTACATTTTTTTTTTTGTAATTTCAAATGATTTATAAATTATTTCATTATTTTTTTTTTAAAATCTATTTATTACACTACTTAAATTTTAAATTTCTTATATATATTTTCTAAATGGTCTTTTTTAGCATTATTTGTAATATTAACATTTTTTGCTTTATTTCTAAAATATTTTATTTAACTTTAACAAAATATATATATTTAATTTCTATAATTCATTTTCTTTTACACATTTGTTTTTTTCTGCTGCCTTTCTTATCCGCCCTTATAAACAAGTGCATTATATATTATTATAATTATTGAATAGACAAACATTAAAACATACATTTTGTAAATATAAATATCTAGCAAATATTTAAGATAAACTGTTTAAGTAAATTGAATGAAATTGACTATGTCATGTAACCCAAAACTTGCCTTTAATATATTATATATAAATATTATAATAAAAATTAAAGAAACATTTTAAATATTTATGTACGATTTTGTATGTACATAATTTTAAAATATTAAAAATTGTTCTTTAAATATTTAAATGAATATTGTCATAAATTTATAAATACCAATAAACCAATATACAATATTAAAAATCTAAAAAATGTTTAAATTTAATTATTAGGGAATAAAAAATTCAGAGAATCTTAAAAAATATTAATCAGATTTATTTTTGGATAATATAAAGAATCAATACATATTTTTGTGAAAGTAATTTAGATTAACGAAGAAAATAATCAGCTTCATTTTACTTTTAAGTTAGATAGGGTATTATCTATTATTTCTAAAGAAATCTTTTTTAGAGCAAAATACTCTGGTTTCAGCTCTTAAGAACATATAGCGAAAAAAATATCTGTTAATGATTTATACAAAATCTCAATCTATTAATTAATTAAGCATGGCGTAATTTATTATATGGAAGAGTTAATGGGGTTGGAGACGGTGGGATATTAGGAGGATTGATTGTTAACTTCTTATAGATTACGTTCATGGTATACTCAGCTTGGGCGCACTCATAAAAACTAAAAGAAATTGAACAGATTTGTGCATTAAAACTTGAAGAAAATCCATGTGAAACGGTTTAATACTTACTATATCAGGATTTTTTGGCCGAAGCTTGCCAGCGTTTCTGCTGTCTACTCGGCTGACTGCCGATTTAACTAGAATAAATTGGTGGATCCAAGTTTCGTCCAATATTACATATCGATGTAAAAACTTGGTCTGTTACAAAACTTCAGCCATTGAGCCATAAAGGTCAAAAGCTGAGACCTTATTAGTATTTGGATAACGTATATATCTAAGGTAAAATTGAAAACCAGAAGAAAAAGTGTAGGTAGTAGGTGAAAAGTTTGCTAAATAGTAATTATTGATTAAGAATAAACTCTGTGTAAGTGGTTGTTGTAACGATGATTGTAGAGCAGGATCACACAAGGGACGCGGACAACGTCGCGCGGAGGTAGTAACCTCCGCAAATTCTGATAGCTGGGGAAATAATAATAATTATATTTATCATTTCATCATCATTCGCACATTTAGTTTTAGTGAAAAAAAAAGATAATGTTGTCCTCAAATTAAAATTTGTATTCCTTCTTTGAATTATGATAAGTTTTTCATGTGATTTTACAGAAATATAATTTGAAGTCGAGCATGCAGGAATTAGAGTGAGGATCCATAGAATAGAACAATTTCAGCGTTTTGACTTTTATGTGCTTTGCATATTCTCGACTCTCAAAACTTTGTATATATATATATCAATCTAATATACCGTGGAAACGCGTGTTTCATTGCACTATTTTGATAAGTTTAAATTTTGTATTGGAGGATGAAATATAGCCATACCCACATGACCATGAATGAAGTAGTTTGTTTGCTTATAAAGCAGTGTGTTATTTTTAATACTTGACATTTTATCCGTACCAACGCATATGTCTCCTCTTGACTACGTCCATGCTATTTACAGTGGTTAACCTTTGTATAGATGGGATTTATTGAAATGTATCAGAGACAAGTGCTTAATCAATGAATACCAGTTACTCTACTCTACACAAATTTGCAACACTAATTGAACAGCTGACCGCCGCTTAAATAATTTTGTTTCTTATCAACATTTTTGTATTTTATTTAATTTGCAATGTTGTGAATTAAAAGTTACATATTTAAATGTATTAGCTGAAATATTGTGAAAAATAAGTTTAACTAAGTCAATTCTTTATTATTATTATTGTAAATAAATGTGTCAATGGCTTTGTCACACGCAAAACGTGAAGAAATTCCTGAAGATGCGGTGATTATATCACAGGAAGAAGCTCTAACATACCAATGGAAGATTATAAGTGAATGGGAAAAACCAACTGAAGTGTATGTTTAAAAACTATTAAATAATCATTAGTTTTAATAAATTTGTAATATTTATAATAATATTTGCAGAATTGCATTACGAAATGGCCCAGCTGTTTTGAGTGTTCTCTCGGGGGTCACCGGTTTTTTTGTTAACAATCACTACCGCAAATATCTTCGTCTTGGCGTATATGGTAGAAGTTCAACATACCTGCCAATTGTTGTAATACCTGCACTGTTTACATATATGACACATAAATACTTTGTGCAACGAGATTTAATATTGACACCAATTGCATGTCCGCTATGCCTGCAGACACGTGCATCCGCATTTCAAAGCGGCATTGGTTGTGTCTATCCAACAGTGCTGGCACCTTTTGCTGCATTTATGTTTGCCACAAGACATTACACCTACCGCCTGCCTTCAATAACGAAAAATCCCAAAGATGTTTTCAAACTATGGCGTAAAATGACTCGACCCATAACACCGGTACTAGCAACAATTTTTGTAGGTCAAGCAATAGCTGCTGCTTATATAACCTATAGAGAACAATTGGAATATTTGCGTTTGCAAATAAAAATGCAAGAAATCGAAAACAAAATAATGGAAGAACATTTTTCATCTACTTCGAGCTTTGAATAAAAGATAAGGCAGTGAAGATGGTAACAACATAGCTGGCAAAGATGTTAATATCATTTTCACTGATTATCTCAAAATAATTAATAATATTCTTTCTATTTTTGTAAAACAAACAAAATTAAAATGTATATGTATGTATGTATATAATACAAATGTTAAACAAAAGATTAATTTGGATATTATGAGCTTTTAATATTATAACTTTATAAATTAAAATAAAATCATAAATCAATACTGCTAATATGAAACTTACAATGAGTATTTAAACATTTTATGTAGATTCCATACAATTTAAATCAAATTATAATATATAATTTTTCACAAATTTAATAATATAATGTAAAAGGAAATAGCAGTTGCGGAACCAGGAACAGTTTACAGAAATAAACCCGTTCCGGAACTATGTGTCTATTTAAACGATTAAGTGGCGTTCATCACTCCTTACTAGAACTATAAAAGCAGAGTTCCTAAGTGCGTCATAATTATAACAAAAACAGAAACAATTAGTTCTATGTTCCAGATCAGGTTGCAAGAACGGCCGGGCTTACGTTTCGGATATGGTCGCTCGTTGAGTTTCAGGATCAAGTGTTATTCGTCACAACCGAAGGGGACTGCATAAGCAGATCACTGCGGATTACTACAAGAAAAACAACGACATCAGCATGCCCAAGATCTCAACCTGAGAATTTCTTTATTCTTTATTAAAACATAGAGAAATTGATTTGGAGTTATCAATATTTGTAAAAACAAAAACCAAATATTTTGCGACTAAAGCTTTAAACTCTTTCTTTGTTGATAATTACAATTAATTCTAAATAAGAAAGTGTAAATAATAAGTAAGTACAACAAAAATTTAATTTCTTCGGGTATACATACAATCCATACAACTGGAACTGCTCAGTGTATGAGCAGCGCCTATTTACTATTTAGAGGTTTCATTTTCTGGAAATTTTGACCAACAGCAGGACTTCTGTCTTAAAAGCATTTTAAGCTTTGCCAAAGGTTTAAGACAGACTTTAAACCTCTGAATTTCTTATACGGTAACACAATGGGCCAATAGGCCTAAGTAGATCCTTATGATCATCAGTATAACTTAACCTATTATATAGGTATATATGATATTCATAAATCTTTTGAAGTTTATTTGAGCACTTATTTAGTGCTGGTTATACTAACAGTTCAGGAGTTTTTTGAAATAGTTAAATTGGAATAGTTATGAGTCCAGTTATTTAACAGCAGTATTTATTTTGTCCAAGGCTTGTGTCAAACTAAATAAAAATATGTTAGAGTAGTTGTGAGTTCACTTAAATGCTTCTGTTGTTTGAAAAGACTTATGTGAATAAAAAAATGTAAATTAGTTTTTATTTTTATATACAAAAATAATATAAATATATATATATATAAGGGCGGTGTTTTATTACAGCTGCTGTTGGGAACATATAATGAGATTATTTAAAAATATTAATATAAATTCATTTACAACTTTTTATTGAAAAAGTCTTCAAAAAAAAAAAATATATTAGTTGGTTTTTTATTTTTAATTTTAATTTTTTATTGAACAGCACAAAAAAGTCTTAAGTAAAAAATCAAAGAGATTGTTTAATTAAATAAGAAATAAACGCACGAAGGACCTATTAATCCAGTTCCTTATTCTTAGTTAACTTTAAAATTAATTTTAATATTAACTCAAAAATAAATAAGTAAAAACAAAAAAAAAAATAATTATTTGTGAAGTAAATTATAATGTATTATTATTAAGAAATATTAAAAGAAAAACAACGAAGCAAGTTTTATTTAAGTGTTTTTTATTTTACTTGAATAATTACATTTAGATAGACTAAAATAGATACATTTAACATCTTAATTTTTTTCTTTTTCATAATTTTTGTTTTTTTTTTGTTTTGTTTTGTATTATTATTAAATTTATATATTAATAAATGTTTATTTATATATTTCATTTATGTATATAATGCTTATAAAATAAAAAAATATTTTTTTGTTTTGTTTTTAACAAAAAGCTTAAAATGTATCTTAAAGTGGAGAATTATTAAGGGTAGGGAGAGTTTTAAGTTATATGTCTCAAAAACTTTAAAAATTTTGATTATTAATAGGCCGGGGGTTATATGTGTGTGTGTGCTAAAGATAATGTAACTCCAAATAACTGTTTATAACGTTCTCATCTCTCAAATTCAACGCACCACAGTCAGCTACAAATACAATATACACATTATGCAAAGGCGCATAGTACAAGTAAAAGACTGTAATATACGTACTTATCAATAAATATCTAATAAAAGTGTTTGTTCCAAAAAATATATATAAATTTATATATATATATTATATAATGCTTAAAAATAATTAAAATAAACATTTGTAATGAAATATTTTTAAGGCTTCAACTTCAGTTAATGTAACAGTTACAATAGTTAATTGATAATTGGTTGTGGTGTTACATTTGTTATATGTTTTCCTGTTTCGCCGTTTATTCTATTCTTCTTTCCTTCTTCTAAGGTCTATAGAGCAGTTGGATGAAAACCATCGTCGATAAAAGGTTGACTATTAAGCATATATATATAGAATAATTATAAATTTCATGTTGGACAAATCTCAACTGAATTTGAAGTGTTACATCGATTACTACAGTTTATACTTAATTTTACTACTAAACAAATACTAGAGCTCGTGTACGTGTACCCGTAATGCTTACAATATATAAACTTTTACTTTAAAAAAAGTAACAGCACCCAAAATGGTGCTTGGGAAAGATATCCTTATTCTAATTATCTTATGTTTACATACATTTTAACTAAAGGTTTTGTGTGTGTGTGTTTACATATATTAGCATTTTGTTTATATAGTGTCCTCTCAGTAGAAGTAAAATCAAATACATTTTGTATACCGTAACTTTTAGACATTTAAACGCTATCAACAACAACGTGTTTTTGGCTTTGGAGACCATTTTTTTTAATTCCAAGTTAATTCAGATTACTTATTCAATTTGCAGCCTCAGAACTTGTATCTAATTGAGGCCCCTCATTGAATGGGGCTAGTGGTACAATCAAAGTACCCTCCATTTCTTCATCTGCATCGGCACTAATAGTGATGTTATTTGGAGTATCCTAGAAATAAAAAATAATAATATTAAATTAGAATAAGACCGGTGTTAATTATCGATAAATATAATATAATAATAATAATAATTATATTATAATAATAGTATTTACAATAAGAATAGATATAAAAGAATATACACTTTAAATTCAAATGTCTTATGAGCTAAACTGTAATGTACACGTTAAGAATTTGTTGTTATTGTTGTAACACACAGAGATCTGTAAAGTAGATAGTATGAAAGGAAATATTTGGTTCCAAGAACGACCGGATCTACGTCCCGAAGCCACTCGTCAATTTCAACGATCAAGTGCTCTTCACCACTCTACACATTCTACACATTTTTCCCGGGCTACAACAAAGGCATTAGGATGTGGATGGGTATTGATTGTATGAGCGGAGAAGAGATTGTTAGGAGATGATAGTGGATTGGGGGTTGCGTTGGATTTAAATTGAAACATGATAGAGAAACTTTGGCTGGCCCAAAGGTCGATTGAACTCAGGTTTGTGTGCAAGAAAACAGATGGGCGACATAATAACGGATGGAGCTGGACTTTGAGCATTAGAAATTAAAACACATCTATTGGGAATAGACCCATCTATACGTGACAAGTAACTGTTTAGTATATAGCTATATCCAGATCTTAATTGAGCTGAGACAGTTTTTCTTGTACAGAGAAGACGTTTTTCCCTGGATCGGCTAATAATCTAGCTAGGTTAAAGTTGCTGTTACCAAGAAGAAGATTGTGAAAAGCGACTAATCCCTTCCCCTTTTACACTTTCTTTACCCAATTATATCCCAACTCATTTACGTATTTGTAATTCTTTTTATGTTATCTGCCATATATATCTTCACAGGTTATCACAGCAACACGACTGAAGTTTTTTACTATTCTAAGAATGCTCTTCATATTTTCGAATATTCTTTTATATCTTTCTTAATTAAATCCTTAATATTAATATCTATTGTTTTCTTTAAAAAAACCTACCAATTTGGCTTCAACTCGCTGACGTTCATGCATTGCATTCAAGAGTTCACGTAAGTGCTGATTTTCTTTGCGCAATCGTTCACGTTCCATATCGCGTTCATTAATTTTTGGCTAAATTAATTAAACAATATTAAATTATAAATTATAAAAAATATGTCAAAACTCATTATAAACTTACCAATAGTAAGGAAATTTGTGCATTCAATGCACTCACAATGCTATTCAAAGCATGACACGGTACACTAGGCTCCAAGGAGTTTGCATGTTGTATGCGATTACGTCCACAAAGTGAGGCATTACCATTTGCAACAGTGGCGGCCACAGCATTCGTCTGTAATATTGGTAATGTTTGTGTCATACTGTCGACCATATTAAGAGCGCTTGAGAGTTTGCTTAAAGTAGCCTGAAATTAATAAAAGAAGGAAAGAGTGTCAAAAGTATACTTATAAAAATTTAATTCTATATATGAACTTACCAGAGCTTGATCAACTTCATTCTGTTCTGTTGATTTTTCAGCATTACAGTCTTTTGCTTCCATATGTACTTCCTCTTTCTCTTTTATAGAGATTTCTGTATTCGAACGTTCTTCTTTAGCGTTACCATCTTCTCCTTGAAGTTCAGGATTTTCATTTGCAGTTACGTTTTTGGCATCATTGTCCACAATTGTGTCATCCTCACTAATTTCATTCTCTTTTAGTGTTTCTGTGCTATCTTGCTGGGATTCTCCAACGTCTTTTTTATTATCCCCCGTATTATCAGTTGTGCTATTATATTGTTCATCTTCAATATTCTTTTCGTTCTCGTTTTTATTTAGTTTCTCTTTTAAACTAGTATTCTTCTCTTTGATAGGAGTTGACGTCTCGCTTTGTGTTCCCCCTATTGGCGTAAACTCATCATCTAAAGCTTTTGTGACTTCATCAGCGGATTCTTCAGGAATGCTATCAGCACTTATAGTGCTTTGACGTTTAACCAACTCCGGCGTACTAGCAACTGTAGTTGTTTGTGCTGTGTTTTGAGTGGTAGCAGCAGTAGCATTAGATGTTTTCGCATTAGGTGGCGGTGGTGGTGGTGGAGGCGTCTTAAATGTGCCTGCCGGTGGTGGTAGTGGTGGAGGCGGCGACGAAGCTTTTGCTTTATTATTTGCACTTAGCACTGGTGTCACAGCTGGCAAACGTAGTTCATCAATTTTGCAATACCCATCATCGTCCTCATGTATGTTTGCATCTAAAAGTGCAGGAGTATGTAGTTTTGTAACCATTGGTGCCGGTGTTTGTTGCTGCGCTTGAGCTGACTGTTTATTCGGTGGCGGTAGAGGAGGCGGTGACTGCTGTTGTGTTGCTGCTGTCGCCACTAATGTTGTGGTAGATGCTGAATTCGAAGAGCAAGTGGACGAAGATGTTGATGTTGCAGACGGTGATGTTGCGTGGCGTTGACGCTGTTGCTTTTCGTGACATTGATCACAAACTGCTGTTGATACTGCGGAAATTTCTTGTTCAGGTGTAACGTGCATATAGTCGTTTAGTACTTCTGTAAGAGACTGCACTTGTGCATAAGCAGCGAGCGCTATATCGGAACTATCCTTTGGCGCTTCTGGCATTGCAGCAATATCGACAATCTCATGGAAGTGTTCAACCGGTAGACGGAACATATCACAAATGATCTTTTGTTTCTCAAGCAAGCCATCACGTATGGCGACATCAAGACGACGCAAACGTTCAGCTGGTGTCAGCACTGGTTCGGCTGTATGTGCGGGGCTAATACTTATTTGTATGGCTGTCGGTTCTACCAGTGGTGGTGATGACTGCATTAAAGTGCGTGTATTATTGGAATTATTTGAGTAAACAATGCTGGCGCTGTCACGTTTGGTTGGTCCACCATTCACAGTCAGTCCAGTGTTGTTGTGATCGGCACCATCAGCGGCATTAGCTTGACGTGCCGATTGTGTGTGACGTAATGTAACACCATTTGCATTATCCACGCCATAATTATTGTTGGCTTCACCACAACTGCGTGTTGACATTGTACGATTGACACTCGAGGCGTTGGGTGATAGTTCATTGTGACTAAGACGTTGTTTGTGATGTGCAATGGCGCTATTATCTGTTGGTGTTAGCGTACATTCAACTCTGATACCTTTGCCAGTTTGTCGTAATTGCACGTCATTGTTATTGGTGTTATGACTGCTGTGCATTGTTGAAACCATGGACGCTGCTGGTGGTGGCATCATTGGAGCCAAGGGTGTAGTAGTGACCGTTGCGGTGGCTGCAATTGGTGGCGGTCGTTCAGGTGTCAACTCAAGTGATTCTTTTGTATTGGAATGCGGTAAGGTAGCAATAGCAGGATCATCAACCGGTTCATGGTTAGCATTCTTGGAACGCGGTTTATATTGTTCTGCAGCATCGGAAATGTGTTTGAACCATCTATAATATAAAGAGGTAAGAAAGTTAAAGATAAGTAAATTAAGTTAAGAGAGGAATTATTTAAATAATAATGTGAAAGTATCGAAAAGTTTGATTGTTTGAAAAAAAAAAAAACTTGTGGTTACTCTATAACATATAAATAAATATCAATAATATTGTACATTTTTATATATATAATAAAATACCTCGATACCAGTGAAGAGCGACGCCCAGTACTTGTTGTAGTATCATTAAAACTTCCACGTCTGCGTTCTTTTTTGCTTTTACTTGGTGTTGAGTTGACACTGTCCGCTCCATTGCCAGTGCCATTTTTACTGGAAGATGAGAGTGATAGCAGCGTGCCGTTGCAAAGACTTTTGCGTCGCACGCCACTAAAAATATCATCCGGTGAGAGAAAATTCATTTTTCTTTACGACTAGACACACGTGGAAAAAGTTCAAGGGCTAGCCCGTCTTACTTAAAGATATTTTTGGCTACGTATCCGAAATTTTAATTGTTGAAGAAATATCGCACAAATGGAATTTTATGTATTCTTTTTAATTTTAGTTCACTTGTTTTTAGTTCATTGTTCTTCTTTAATTTGTTTATTATTTTATTGACTTTAAGTATTTACTAAGAATTAAACATTTTTTTATTTAAAAAATATTTGATTAAAAATTAAAACTTTTAGCTAAGTTATCTTATACGCGGTAATTAAATTGCACTTACGATAAGATTGTGGCTTCACAAGTAGACCAAAAGACCACTAGAACAGAAGAACCCATATTCTCATATTCTAGTAGGTTACTTTGAGTTTGCATTGAGTTCTACATTTAAAGAGTTTAGTTCTAGAATTTAGGGGGCTCAAAAAAATGGGAAATTGATTGACTAACTATAGATACAATGAAAATATTTTAGCACAAAAAGCTGGTTTTCAAAGATGTTTTCGTTACAAATATATATTTTTATATTTTAATAAAATACAATTAAACTATGCACATTATTAATGTTCAAAACATCATAATCCCATAATCTAAATGTAGTTTTTACAATTCCTGGCAGTTAATGGAGTTATGTGTTGTCCATATCTCCGAAACAAGATTCATATTTTGAATCTGTGATGGCACTTATAGTGACTATGTGATGAGCACTTGCATTGCTCGCTTTAATAACACCGATTGGTACTTAAAGATCCTTTCTATTTAATTGTCGAAGAAATTTCAAAAGTTTATTGACGGGTTCTATTAGAAAGGTTTTTTTCACTTTACACGTTTCTATTTTGGAAAACTTTTTTCTGATAAACCCAAAACATATTGATTTTACTAGTATCCATTTGGAAAACTTTATTTATGATAAACCCACAATATATTGACCCAACGAAGGAGTTTTACACAAATAATGACGAAAATTGCTACTGGGCCTAGTATCCTAGCAGACCTTTTATTGACAGAAAAATGTACTCCTATTATTCTTTTTTTTTTCTACTTATTTTCTTTATTTATTTCATGTGTAATAAACAGAATTATAAATTCCTTACATGTCCATCATGGAGAGTTGCGGAAAAAACATTATAAAAAATTGTTTGGTTTAATTCGATACAGAAAAAATGGAATGTTTTTTTAGTTACACAGATTGAAAGCTATTAATTTGTAAAATAAGTTTCAGGAAAAATAAAATAAAATATATTTAAAGGCCAAATTGACAAATTGCGAACTTCAAAGCGTTTTTACCTTACCTAGTAGACTCTAAGCTATGATGATGAATGTCATTAAAAAAAATGCGTAAATCAATTTCGAATAATTTAAATCGTTGGAATCGCTTCTATTTTTTTTTTTTTGGTTATTTCTTATTTTATTTTTATGATTTTTACAATTTAATTTTATTTTATAACCTCGTTCAAATAAAAATGCACATGAATCGAATTAGAGTTGCAAAAATTGTATTTCAATAATAAATTGAACGTATATGGCATGGCAGTGGCAGTAGCATTTACGGTAGAATAAAAGCGGTGAATATGCGTATACATACCTACACACATAGTCTGTAAGTAAATCGTAAATTATTCGACTATCTCAGTATCTCAGTATCTGAACTGACTTCAGACTTCATATGTTGTAAAGATTTCGGATAAAATTGACGATATAAGCGTTTGTAATATATGCGCAGCAATAAAAACATACACGCGGGGCAGGGAATGGCATGTAGAGAAATAAAATAAATAAAATTATTTTAAAATTGTCTCACAGAACAACAAATCTAGGAAACAAGGTGACAAGTAATACAGTAGTAACAGCAGGAAGGAAGGAGCGACGGAAGGAAGTGGGTAAGTAAGTAAGTAGAATCCAACAAGCAGTAGAGTGCTTTTATTTATAAAATGACAAGGATATATAAATTTATTATTTGCTACTTTTTTACATAAATGTTTATTTAACTACGATGATGCGCGAGTATATACTACGTAAGTAAATTAAATATAAAAGCAACCAGTACGTAGTACCTAACAAGAAGCTCAGAATTTTACCAAAATATGTTCTTCATCAGCATTAAAAAAAAAAATAAAAAATCCTTTATCCTACTTTACGAACAAACAATAGCTACTAAATAATAATTTGGTTGGGTTCAGTACAAAAACAAAAAAAAATTTAATAGAGCTCAAGATGAAAAATTCAATGAAAGTTCAATAATCTTATTTTAATGCTTTTATAATTTGATTTAAAGATATTTTAATTGGTTTCATTTCATTGTAGAATTTTCCTCTACAATTTTTCCTACCAAGAGAAAATGTAACTTTAATGCTGAAAAAATTATTTTGAACTTGGCGGGCAATGAGAAGAAGAAGAGCAAGTCTTTGTCGTATAGTGGCAAAAATATATTTTGTATATTTAATGAGACTAGGACAGGACAGTTCAATTAATTGACTTGTCAATTCCATCTTTTTTATTATGTGCTGATGCCTTCCTTGCGTGGAAAACGAAGAAATTTATGGATTATAAAAAAAAAAATTAAAAGAATATTAAATATTAAGTATACTTAATTATGTGTAGGCACACAGACGAGATGAGCTATTAAATCAACTTTCTTCGTAAAAGTATTTAAAGATATTAAAGATAAATAACAACAGAGCTTCAATGGCTTAAGCTGAAAAATGTATAATAGGTCAGATTTGTTGGAGTAAATTCAATTAGGTTAGCTTTTGATGACTTCTGGGACTTGATAGAAACTTTTTACTAATATCTTTAGACCAAACAGGTTACGAAATTTTTAATTTAAGGAATTGACTCTTTTTTATTGGATTTTAAGATAATTAAGAAATTTCAATATGATATTTATTGATATACCATATTTAAGCACCTGTACTCCTTCATAATGTTTTAAAGAAATATTTTGCCAATAAAAGATAAAAAAAAGCATAGTAAGTACCCAGATAATACAAATTTATTATTAACTTCAATAACTGATGCGTGTCCTCATGCCAGATTTAATCCATCAAAATTGATCTTCAAAAATCTATTTAGTTTGTGCAGTGCTGTAATAATCAAATTTTTTTGAAGTAATTTTCTTGGTTAAGATTTAAGACTAACGAGATTAAAAATTCATCTAGTGTGGCCTTATACAAAATTTAATCCATCAAAATAAATTTATCTTTTTAGAGTAATTTTCTTGGTTAAGATTTCAAACTAATATCTATTACTATATAGCTTTAATATAGGACGCTGCATACTCAAAAGATAATATCTCCGCTATGTTTGTCCCAAAGCAACTTTTATAGATCATATTCAATAGTATCCCCAGAAAAAATACCTAAATAACTTCTTACTACCTTCCAAGATTATGCAAATTAAAATTCAGGCATAAGAGAGTACACAATTGCATATAATAACTCCACAGTTAAGAAATGAATCTTATGCTAGCTTATATTAATACCGTCAGTTTATTAATCATATTAATTATAAATTAATAAGGAATATAGAAACAAAAAAACTTTTCAAGCTAAACGTGATATGTTCGACTTACTTCCCTTTTATCTACTTATTTCTCTGTAGTTAGAAAAATCTCTTTATCATCATTTCTTGCTAGTAATCTAACTGGATTAGTCCCACATTCAGTAAGCAAAGAAGTATTTTGGCAGAATCGGTGTTTCTTTGGAATTTACAGGGAATTCAGTGACCTTGTGTTCTAATTAGTAATGTTTCACAGAGCTGTATAGAGAAGATTGAAGATTTCAAACTATTCTATTCAAGTAATGTATTTTATAAAGCGCATAATTGGACTCGATTAAAATTTTTAAGGCATTATCTGTGCCTCAATGGGATTATTACAATAATGATTATAATAAGTAAACGTAAGTTCTCATGTGAAAACACTTTATAAAAGTAAAATGTGGAATCGGAGTTCATCTCTAAATTGTCACGAACTGAAATATTCTCTTGGGATATTAACTTTTAATATTAAATGCAATTGTCACTATTTTCTATAAGTGCATTCATTAACTTAAATTAAGTTTCAGCAACTAAACGCATTCAATTAAATTAAAAGATGCTTCTTTTTTGTGAAAATAATTAATTATTTTCAGTCAATGATGGGTGTTCATTCTTACCCATAAATTGAAGTTTAACATTTCTCAGAATCATCATTTTCCAACTCACTGGAAGCAGTTTTCTAATTGTTATGATAACCTAAGGAGGTTGCAACATTTTTCACTACTTTATTGTCATTATTTCATTTCTTGGAATTTAATTAATTACACAAAAGAAATTATACTGAGAAAACCATAAATTGAATATAAAAATAATTGAATTTCATGAGCAGGTAACATTTGATGACTGGCATTAAAATTTTTGAAGGACACATACACATAATGTGGAAATTATAATATATTACGTGTTTTGATCATAAAAATATCTCATAACAAAACATAAAGATTTAATAAGAAATAAAAAGAAAGTAGTATAATCCACAAGTAGCAGAATCCAGTAAAAATAAAATAAAATGATATGGACTAAATGGCTTGCAATCTTTAG